GAAAAAACCTATATTCCATAACTAGCTGTATCCCACGACTCTGTCCATGTAAATCCGTACATATAGTAAGCTGAGTTGGGATATAACCAACCCATGTACCAAATTTCATTCAGGTGTTTTTCAGTGACAGAGCTATAAACATCCATCCATCCCTAGTTACAAACTTTCACATATTTGATATTAATAGGATCCACAGCCATGCCTGTAATGATATTTTGTAATATACACGGGTGACACAGACATTACCAAGCAGCCATTTTTTCTACAACGTCTCCCTCTGGTGCCCTCTCGATTTAAATTTAAATAAAACCCTTACAAAAGAAATATAAATAAAAAAGGACACGATAATATTACTGCCATAAAATGAACCAAATTCCTGGAGAAGAATGACACGAGCGGTATTATCGGCGGGATAATAATATACGCCATAAAATGAATTACACGCTTTTGCATATAAATTCGTCCATATTGAAGAGACTTTTTGCTAGTGAAATTACAGGATACAGTGCATAACAACTTAGTCCTCGGGAATAGTTAATCCTCGGATAATGCATGATGGAGAAAGAAAGGTCTACTTTATATCCAGATCAAAGAACATGTCTCAGATGCGCGGACGAAGTCGAGGATAAAAGCTAGCTTATCATAAATATCTACTTATTAGTAAAATTATATTTTCTACTAATTCTTTTTTATACAACTTAGAATGGCAAACAAGCTGATGGCCCACCTGATGGAAAGTGGTAACCGTCGCCTATAGACATGAGCAGTACTATGGACATAACAGAGTATACTATTTCGCCCATGATAACCCCCATGCGTTACCATTTCTGAGGACTGAGGTGTTATTCCTCTGTACCCTAAAAATTCACTACCATATGTGGGATATACCTTCAAACCGAAACACAGCCATGCAAACATAACAGCTTCACAATAGAAATACAAATAGAACAGAGGTACCCAAGCAAATGACTTTTGTGTATATCTAGTAATTTCACTTTCCACTCTTTAATACAAAATACAGGTAAGGCAATGGCCGCAAAGCATGAATCGGATATATCCACAAGGAAATGGATTTCATAAAATCCCACGGGAAAAGCAGATAATAAGAACCGCGTGGGCGTAGCTTCAGGCTTTCTCTCGTCTAGTGTACACATATAAATTATAACAAAGAACATTGTACAACATGAATTTACAATTAATTTCGTTCCCATAAGCTTTTATAGCTAATAAAAATTTGACGTAAGCGAATATATCACGTTCCGTTCGACCTACGTGCTTGTAATCATTATAAAAATGTAAGACTGCAACTTTTTTGTATTTCATTACAGTTAATTTATTAATGTAATAATATCTCTTACTAGCTGTTTGCCTGTTACTTTTTTTTTATACAACTTAGAATGGCAAACAAGCTGACGGCCCACCTGATGGAAAGTGGTAACAGTCGCCCATAGACATGAGCAGTACCATGGACATAACAGAGTATACTGTTTCGCTCATGATACTCCCCATGCGTAGCCATTCCTGAGGACTCAGGTGTTATTCCTCTGTACCCAGTAAATTCACGCCGTATCCCACCCTTCAAACTGAAACACGTACGTTTTACTCTCGATACTCCATCTAGAATTAGTTTAAATCATTGCTTTTCTTACTTCTTAAATCCACGCGTACGAAGTACCGAACATAAAGTTTAGCTAATAAAAAAATATCCCTTTGTTTCGTTTGTAATGTAGGATAATGGTATATTTTCCTTTTGCGTCTCTTAATGTCGCTTCTAATTTGCCGATACGGACGGAAAACATTCGCGAAAATATCATAAATATTGTTAATTGGATATATAAATATATAATGTACATTTTTAGCAATTATTTTCTCTAATCATATTAATATATTTTTTTTTATGTGCATATATATTTATTAACATTTATTTTTCTATTTCCAGTAAATGGAGTAACGAGGTATGGCTAGTTGGGGGGAAAGGGATTGTTATTAATGGAGACTGAGAATCCCATTGCTAGCAATATACCCAACCAGGTCGACCTCCACGCGGTTCCCCCTGGAAACTATCATGGTTAATTCCTGATGAATTCATCATGATAGGCTCACTGACCTGTTTTCATTCTCATCTATCACCCTTCACTGGTGCTCCGCCAGCGTATCCCGTTAGCTCAAGCGGAGTTACCAATCCATTTTCATCCAACAAAAAAAAATGGAGTAACGATCTCAAATAAATTGCAGGTATACAATGGATGTAGGTGACACAGAGGTTACTCCTGAGGCAGTTCGGAATGAACACTAGATCCCTTTTTAGGATGGCGGTGGACATAGTGAAGATCGCCAACCTCCGGTAAGAGATGGCATCTTAAGAAGATTTTTCTATTTATATAAATAGAAAAATAGTGTGTTAAAAATTTATATCTTTAATATACTCAAATATATATTCACGTGTGCTAAAAATATAATATAATGTAGAATAAACAATAAAATATATTTTTTTTATTTATAATAGATTAAAAAAACAGATGGTAGAGAAAAAAATTTCTAAACGTTATATTAATTTGTTTGCTTAATTTAATTAAAAGTTTCATAGGTAGGTATTAAATACTTACAGGTATGTTAGCTTTTACCCGTGACTTTGCCCGCATAACTGGCATATTTATAGAGTGCAATTGCACAAAAGTGCCTAATAAATTTGTTAAAATTAAGGCACTATTATTTATAAATTACTAGTTTTTACTTGTGACTTCGTCTGCGTGACCGGGATTTGTTTACTGACCAGGATAAGAAGATATATCCTTCTCCATCCCATACAGGATGTGTATACCAAATCACATAGTGATTGGTTAAGTCATTAAGACGCTATAATGTAACAAACAAATATACTCACTTTTATATTTATAATATTAAATATAAGGATTTATAGGTAAATAATCAAGAACAGTACATTTTTATTGATGACTAGCGGCCCGTCCCGGCGTCGCACGGGTGGTACATTTTTAACATTTCCCTTCACTGCTCTGCTCCTATTGATCGTAGCGTGATGAAAAGTATACTATAACCTGGCCAGGATTATGAAGAATAATTGTATCAAGTTTCGTTAAAATCCGTCGAGTAGTTTTTGTTTCTATAACGAACATACAGACAGACAGACAAAAATTTTACTGATTGCATTTTTGGCATCAGTATCGATCACTAATCACCCCCTGATAGTTATTTTGGAAATATATTTCATGTACATAATTGACCTCTCTACAGATTTATTATAAGTATAGATAAGAACTATTGTCTACATTTTTTATTATTTATTTATTAAATTACAGAAAAACAAAGTCAATAAAGAAGGAAATTAAAGTTTTCATTTTTGTAAGAGGAAAAAACAAAGAAGAGTTTAAGAAAAGCAATATGTCTATTTTATACAACTTAGAATGGCAAACAAGCTGACGGCCCACCTGATGGAAAGTGGTAACTGTCGCCTATAGACATGAGCAGTACCATGGACATAACAGAGTACTGTTTCGCCCATGATACCTCCCATGCGTTGCCATTCCTGAGGACTCAGGTGTTATTCCTCTGTACTCAGTAAATTTACGCCGTATCCCACCCTTCAAACCGAAACACAGTCATGCAAACATAACTGCTTCACGGTTGAAACACGAATGAGACAGAGGTATCCAAGAAATCGACTTTTGTACAAAGTCTCCCTCTGGTATTTAAGTGTTAAAATATAAATATTTTCAAATTAATATATTACCTACTTTCAAGTTACAAATTGGGTTTATAATACCGTAATTGGTACTAATGACATTAAATTAAAATTGAGCCATGATTTGCGATTAAAATTTCTGCTATGTTTATTTCTGCTGCCCTAGCCATTTCACTGTACAGGGCCGTCTTACCCCAGCGGGGCAAGGGGTGCTCAATACTCGCGCGTAAAATTATAGGGCAGAATTTTTTTTTTACAACACAGGGGGCAAACGAGCGTCCCTTCATTTCATATTCTCGTCCTCAAAAAAAAATTGTGAAACATTTGTCGTAGTGAAGAGGACAGTGTAAAGCGATTTATTATTGGACGCCCCGCAGAATACCTTAAATTACCCTTTTTTTTGACATTTAGCTGACGAATCTATTAATTTTTATTTATTTAATTCTTTATTGTACACACCAGTTGTTTATAAAAATATGTATGAAATCAAATATGTATCAAATGTACGAAGGCGAGCTTAACTCTAATAGAGTTCTCTTCCAGCAACACCCAAAGTGGTAAGGAGCATCAATGTCAGCGGGCAGAGCGGTGTACAATATTGTGACAATTTTTAAACAAAGAAACTAGACAAAATTAAATTAATTACATTATATTTAATCGTATAAATGCATATATACATATACATTAATATATACTTACACCTATGCATATACTTACACATACATATACAGACATATACATATAATATACCTACATATATAGATAAATATATGTTTTTAGACATAGAAGATGCTCTGTAAGTTTTTAATAGTATTTTTGCTTAAAATAGAATAGGACAGCAATGTCTGGTGTACTGTTCTTTCTTGTACGCGCGGTAATGATAACGCATTTGCCGTTACTTAATGCACTATGAGGCTGGTCTTGGAAACTTATGAAAAGTTGAAAATACTATAAAATTCTCAGTATTTATCCGCAAATTATACTCTACAGCGAACTTATTTTTTATAATTTGTTCTTGTTGACCTACTTCTTGGTAAAGGTCTTCTTAATTTCTATCTGAAAGTTTCTACTCTATGGCTCTTCGAACCAGTCCCTTTTAAATGCAACTAGGTGATTAGGCGCATCTTGGATCGACCTTAGTGGCGCTGTCCATTGGTAAGTACCCACTGAGTGGAGATCGTTATCCACATATCGGGACTCATATGGCTAAGACGACCCACCCAATTCCACTTAAGCTGAATCAATTTCAGGTCAACTTTTATTATGTTAATAGACTTAATATAATAGAATATTCACTGACCTGCGTATGTGAGTAGAACATGGAGAAATTTGACACGATGACTGGCACGGGCAGGGCTATTGTTAGCACGCCTGCCAGGGCGCATAATGCCCCCACGAACATCCCTAAGTACGTCTTAGGAGCCATGTCGCCGTACCCCACGGTTGTCATGGTGACAATGGCCCACCATAGCCCGAGGGGGATCGACTTGAACTGATTTTCGGGGTTATCCTGAAAAATTAAACGTTAGTTTATTTCACATTTTTTTTACATTTACTTAGTGTAGCGAAGTAGCTCAAATTTAAATTAATGTTAATACAAGCTTTTACCCGTGATTTCATAATGATGAATCGTATCAGCGGTTACTGCAACTACTGGCAAAACCCCTCCCAAGGGGGAGGCTCATGTTCAACAATGGATAATCAAAGGCTGGTATGGTGATGATAAAGTAAATAAATAAACAAAATTTTATGAAGGTAGGTAATCCGTTAGATACATACATACTAACATACATATCTATCACACCTGTCTCCCGTTAGGGTAGGCAGAAACAATGGAACGCCAAATGCTTTGATTCAAACAAACCTCTTTCGCTTCTTCCTCATTCATCAATCTTTTCATACACGTTCGCCGGTTACGGGTACTTTTAATTTGGTCCTTCTTCAGCACGTCGCCTATTTGGTCAACATACGTCCATCTAGTGCGGCCCCTACCGACATCTCCATTCATTCTTGCTCGCTCGTAATCCATTAGAGTACGAAATAATAAGAAATAAATAAACCAACTCACTTTTAAATTAGTAAAAGAGAATATTTACTTTTAATTTAAATCACTTTTACAATATTATATGTAAATTATGTATGTAATGTATATTTTTTTTATACAACTTAGAATGACGAACAAGCTGACGGCCCACCTGATGAAAAGTTGTAACCGTCGCCTATAGACATGAGCAGTACCATGGACATAACAGAGTATACTGTTTCGCCCATGCGTTGCCATTCCTGAGGATTCACGTGTCATTCCTTTGTACCCTGTAAATTCACGCCATACACCCTTCAAACCGAAACACAGCCATGCAAACACAACTGCTAGTCCCGGCGTAGAATAGACCACCACTTTTTTCCTATGGGTGCTGTAAGAGCAGACTAAGGAAACTTAATGATAGAGTGATGAACAGCAGTGTTCCTCTTAAAACATCTCCAAAAATCTAACTGCGGTTGCCAATCCGCATGTCAAGCGTGGCAATTACTGGTAAAACCTCCCAAGACTTATGTTCAATTATCAACAGTTAATCAAATATGCCAAATAACATGAAGGTCGGTGATCCGTTAAGATACAAAGTGTAAATGGGAGCAAACAAATAAACCAACTCATTTACAGATTAGTAAAAGAGGATGGTCACTTTTAATTCACTTTTATTTTATTGTATGTAAATTCTGAAGCAATTTCGATGATTCTTTTTGCAAAAGACGTACTGGCGATTTTAAGATCTCCACCCTGAAAACTTATGACATTTTAAAAATAAGTGTAAGCAGCCTAGAGTTTTTTATTCCGTGGTCGCATAATTTGAAACGCTAAACCCAAGAAAATGAAACATTTTCATCTCAGATAGATCACTTGTTATGCAAAATGCCGGTTGATTACAAAATGTAAATCATAGTAGATTCTTATCAAAACTCAATAACTGGGTAAATCGAGTTAATCGAATAAAAGGACCCACAAAGGCGACGGGTAAATGTTTTTTAACAAATAATTAAAAGAATTTCTTGTTCGGTTTAATTTCTTTATTTTTTTTAATAAGTAATATGACTGTATATTTTTATATGCAATAAATTAAAATAAATAAATATAATACTGAAATACACAAAAGCTAGATGACTCGGCAAACTTTTTTCGGCCATATATATTTTTTTTTCTATATAGGTATGGTACTGTCCATAGTACTGCTCATGTCTATAGGCGACGGTTACCACTTTCCATCCGGTGAACCGTCAGCTTGTTTGCTATTCTTAATTGCATAAAAAACCTTATCACGTAGGTGTAAATAAAATAGCCTACGACCTATTTTCAGACCTGACATATATACACAAAAAAAACATAAAAATCGGTCAAGTAATTTCGGTGGAGTTCGATAACAAACATATCTGTGTATTTTGTGACAATAAATGTGGAAGGCATTTGAGGCCTACATTAAATACGTAAGTTTATGATTTTGGGCATCATGCCAGGTTTACAATGAATGTCACTTCTACTCAGTGTAATTCTTATAGTTTAGATACAAATTAAAAATAGGTACAGATATAGATTATCCGACAAAAAAAAATAGTAAATCCTTACATTATACAGATACAACATTATATAGTAATGAGTAGGGATAATATTTATATTATTACATGTATCACATCTCCCATTTTTAGAACTAACAAAATTTTTCATCGTGCCTCCCACCAAATTGTTTATAATTACTCCTCTCCATCCAAAGGTTGCCTGAAAGAGATCACTTTAAGCGATAAAGTCGCCCATTGTTTTCTCATTGTGATTATTTCTTGTAATTATTTAATTTATAATAAGTTTTCTATTGTAATTTTTTGGAGGAAACAATAAACTATCTACAACGTCTACATACAAATACAAAACAGGTTAACTTTTTTATCCATGTGTGCGTAAATAGGGTTACCGTAATTAATTAATTCATTAATCAGAGTATGGTGAAAAAGATATTGTAAGATTAAATAAAAAAAAAAATAAAAACGATACAAAATTATCACGAATATGTTTAAAATAACCGAGTAAATGAGGTATAAAGTTTCATAATGATCATTATAATTATTTTGTTCCATATCTGAGTATAGGCTTCCAATATGTTTTCGTTTTAAAATGGTTAAAAGTGGCCGCTATTATAAATATTTCATTTATATTAATTTATAAGAAATATGTATAAATGTTCCCTCTTCCCTTTCCGTGAGTGTTAGAAGAGACAACTGAGGTAGTTTGGGGGGAAAGAGATTGTTAGCAATGGAGTTTGACAGCCCCATTGCTAGCAATATGCCTTATTAAGTCAACTTCCACGTGGTTTCCCCTGGAAATCATCGTGAACAATTCTTGTTGAATTTGTCACGATACGAGTAGGTCAGTTATGACCTACTTCATCCTCACCTATCATCCTTCACTGGTGCCCCGCCGGTGTGTATCGATAGCGCGAATGGGGCTACCATTCCATTATCATCCATTAAAAAAATCTTAGGTAGTTTAATGGTTGAATGATGGGCAGCAGCGTCCTTCTTAAAACATTATCATAGCTTACCTGCTTGCCAAACGTGGCAACTACTGGCAAAACCTCCCATGGAGCAAATCACTGATATGATGATGATAAGAATGTACAAATTTATATTTATATTATAAAAGAAAGAATAGTCTACATTTCAAATTAAAAAAAATCGACACCGATTTGGGAAATTACTTATCCAATTAATTGCAACACTGGTAAAAATGGCGCATTTTGTTCTAATTAAAAAATTCGTCTGTCAAAATTGAGTCGGCTAAAGTGACATTTCGCTGAGTCAGTTTTGACTTGTCTTTGATAATTGATACTCTATCTATTCTAAGAACAAGAATAATATAGAGGTAATGATAATATAAAAATTGTAAATCATATGGTTACCTCCTTTCTTCTTATACAAATATAATTAGTAAAAAGAAGACAAAAGATACACCATCAGTTGCTATTTTTGTCAATTCATTGTAGGCTAGTGTATAGAAATTGTTATACGACCGTATAACCCTACCAAATTCGGATACAACCTGCTTGCATACTTTCTATATAAACTGTGTCGAATATATAATCTAGTAATGTAAATGAACAAAAATTTTACATACACATTTTCTATACACAAGCCTGCTATGAATTGAGATAAATAGCAACTGATGGTGTATCTTTCGTCCTCTTTTTACTAATTATACTTGCATAAGAAGAAAGGAGGGAACCATATAATTTACAGTTTTTATTTTACCGTTTCTTCTATGGAATTTCTTGTTCTTAGATTCTGTCTATATAGTCTAAGAGTAAAACAAACAATACCGAGTTTTAATCCAAGAATTTCTCTCTCAATATTTTATCATGTCGTGTCCGACCAAGGCGTACGTAGAATACATAAAATTTTATATACGCCTAGGAATCGCCTCGGAGCCCACGTGTTATGTTTTATTTTTCTTACGCAACACTTAAGAGACCACTGGGCTGTTGGGTTTTAGAAAAAGAAAACGGATCTTTTCTACAAACTATTTACATACGGGTACATAAATTGGATTGCCTTGTGGTCCCGGCATAGAATGAGCTACATCTTTCTTTCCCCTTGAGTGTTGTAAGAGGTTATTAAAATAATTTAATGGCTGAGAGATAGGAAGTAGCATCTTTCTTAAAACATCACCACTAGTATTATATAATCACCATTATTACGGACTTAGAAGGAGATTTTTAACAAAAGTCGTTGCTTGGGCACCTCTGTCCCATTCGTGTATCTACCGTGAAGCAGTTGTGTTTGCATGGCTACGTTTCGGTTTGAAGGGTGGGATATGTTGTGAATTAACAGGGTACAGAGAAATAACATCTGAGTCCTCAGAAATGACAACGCATGGGGGGTATCATGGGCGAAACAGTATACTCTATTATGTCCATGGTACTGCCCATGTCTATAGGCGACGGTTACCACTTTCCATCAGGTGGATCGTAAGCTTGTTTGCTATTCTGAGTTGTATAAAAAAAAACATAAATTTGAAAGAAAAGAAATATATAATTATTATTTTTTTATTCATAATTTAGAAAAATAAGTAGAAATTTAACATTCACGTTTCGATGTAACATTATTAGAAATATAGGAACAAATCTAATTCCGTGTAATGCCAATACAATTTCGGCCACGAAAAGGGTACACGTGTCGAGATATATTTATTTTTACACAATTGCTAATACGTTACGTGACATTATACTCGTAAAAACTGGGTACTAGCTGCCATGGTTTCTATCTGTCGTTTATTTTCTTCTCGGAATAGTGCGTGGGAACGTTTAGCAATACGGCGAGTTGGTATTGTAATTTGGCAGCAAGTGTACCGAATCGTTTTGATTTTATATTTATTTTATAAATATTATGAGTTAAATACGGCTTAGTATGAAAGCTACAAAGGTGAAGTATAAACGTAAAATGAATGTATATATATTTTTTTTAATGGGTGATAATGGAATGGTAACCCCACCCGCGCTATCGGTATACACCGGCGAGGCACCAGTGAAGGATGATAGATGAGGATGAAGCAGGTCAGTTAGCCCATCGTGACGAATTCAACAAGAATTGTTCACGATGGTTTCCAGGGGGAACCACGTGGAGGTCGACCTAATAGGGCATATTGCTGACAATGGGGCTGTCAAACTCCATTGCCAACAATCTCTTTCCCCCCAATGAATGTATATTATATGTTGATTGAAGAACTGCATATTTGGAGTAATTTATAATTTAGTTACAAAAAAGTCTCCAATATTTGTTAAAGAAAGGTCAAATTAAGAGTACGCAATATAAAAATGAATCATTAAGGACAGAGAATGAGAGATGTCAGGATAGACATACATACATATTTCCTTTCATCTCACCTATCATCTCTCACTGGTGCCCCGCCAGCGTATACCGTTAGCGCAGGCGGAGTACCCATTCCATCGACATCCATTAAAAAAAAAAAAACACAACTGCTTCACGGTAGAACCACGAATAGGACAGAGGTACCTAAGCAAACACTTTTGCATAAAGTCTCCCTCTGGTATACTATATTTATAGTACCAGTATAGTATTATATTAGCTGTGCTGTTAGTTATAAGTTTTGTTATCTCTGCTGTGTTCGCCATCCATGTCACACCATACATGGAACATTTAAAGAAATAAATATCTACCAATCTGACATCATCATCATCAACATGAATTTCCATCCTGCCAGTAACATTGTCAGCCAATAATTATTCGGTTTCATTCCTAAATTTGAAATAGTCGTATACTTTTTTTCCTATTGGTATTTTATTGAGAGCAATTCACATGACCAACTGTTGGAATGCTGAAACTGAAAAATAGTTGAGAACGTTCAGGGAAAATTGCAAATTGGAGCATGACACTCAATTGTGGAATTGAAACTGCAGGATCAATTATATTTGGTGTTTTCGCTACGATGTGTTTTATTATCAACTAGCTATATTTTACGAATTTGGCCACGTAATTCAGTATATAAAGTACCCTATATGTTAAGTTAGGATATAACCTATCCGTGTACCAAATTTCATTTAAATCCGTTCAGTAGTTTTTGTGTGATAGTGTAACAAACATCCATCGATTCTCTTATACTTTAACATTTACAATAGTAGTAGAACTACTTAAAAATGTGACCCATTTAAATTTTGCCATTGCAAGGCAATTTAAAAATCGAATTAAATACATTTTTTTTTAAACAAAAACTACTAACATAGTGATAAAAATAGCGTGAACAAATCTGAATGTACGAAGTATTGTTAGAACCCTTAAATCATCTCAAGAAATACTGGCAATATTTTTTGAAGAGTCTCTTTTACATTTTGGGGTTTAAAAGGAATGGTAATACATTCCTATCCTATCTCATAACACAGGTAGATAACATAACATTAAATTTCCATTGAAATCAGTCTTTAAATACAAAAGCCACATTTATATCAATTCCTCTGTTTGAGAGGTACGTTGCCAAAGACGTATACGTAGTCAAAGGATTCAAAGTAATGGTGCCCCTTTAAGTATCAGTGATTAAAAGCAACTTGGGAGCTTTAATTAATGAATAAAGACAGTACACGAATGCAGAACGTTTCGCGTCTGATTGATTTTACACTATTACTACTAACTCTTTGTCTTTATGGAACTAGTTTTGTAATTACTAGAATTTATTATACATTTTACCACCCTCCCGTTCATTGAGCGGTTAGAACTTGGCACTAACTTTGTTACGACTAACTTACTATTGTTTGTAAGGTTCACCCCACGGAAGTGATTTATCAATACTCATATTATTGATAGACCTTATAACAACTAGCAAAAGTTTTTGAAATACTTTATTAATTTACTCAAGTAGCTAGTAATTTAGATAGATACTCTTTATTGTTTCTTCTAAAAGAATACAGTAGACACTTATTACAGTTACAATCAATTATAAGAAATGATCACATTGAGAGAACAATTGGTGGATTTATTCCAAAAAGCGATCTCTAGCCAACTTTTGGATGTAGAGGAGTAATTATAATTTAGCGCTCAAATGCTGACTTGAAATGAAAATTTAATTACCCATCTGATGGATATTAGTAACTGTGATCTATATATATGCAGAATATCATGTTTTACTCAAAGAAAAACCAGAAATTATTGTGGAAAGAAACGATGGGTTCAAGCGGATGAAATTGGATTAGGATAAAAAAGCGTGCTTTAAAGTAAAAGGTGGGTATGGCAGTGAAATTACAGGACACAAAGACGTCCTGAGGAATGGCAATGCATGGGAATATCACAGTATATTTTGCGATATCTTTGGTGATATGTTCAGGCTTATATGTGACGATTATCACTTTCCATCAGGTGCGCCGTTAGCATTGCACTTCTAGGAGTTAAAGAGAAAAATTTTTTTAAACTTATTTAAGTACTAAACGTCCAAATAATTTACAAAATTTTCATATTTACTACATTAGCAAGATCTATAAAAAGATTCAAATACAAATTCTTACCTGAGATTTCTCAGCGTAGTAGACGAGACTCGCGAATATCACAATGCCGAGAACCAAAAAGAAAACGAGAAGCGTCAACTCCTTGGCCGACGCTTTGAACGTGTGCACCAATATCTTCAAACCTGGACTGTGCCTCGTCAACTTGAACAGTCTCAGGATCTTGATGATGGAAATGAACTCCAAGATATCAGCTTTGTCCACGTATTGTTTCACTATAGTTAGTTCCACTAATATGTCCATGTAGAAACTCAACGTTGCTATAAAGTCAATAATATTCACTGGTGATTTTATGAATTCTATCATATTTGGCGCTACCTGTAACAAAAAAAAATAACTTTTAGTACATAATTATAAGATGCAATTACAAAGAAATGTGGTAATGGGTCAGCTATACAGCTTGAGCAGTCGATAACCAATGGGGAAAAAAGTTTGTACCAGAGGGAGACTTTGTACAAGTCATTTACTAGGGCACCTCTGTCCCATTCGTCCGTCCTCGTTTTGTTGTTCTCGTCCCACTTCGGTTTAAAGGATGGGATATATCAGTGAATTTACAGTGTACAGAAGAATAACACCTGAGTCCTCAGGAATGGCGACGCATGGGGGGTATCATAGGCGAAAAGGTATACTCTGTTATGTCCGTGATACTGTTCATGTCTATAGGCAACAGTCACCACTTACTATCAGGTGGGCCGTCAGCTTGTTTGCCATTCTAAGTTGTATAAAAAAAAAGTTTCTTACGCTTCTCGTAATATGGGGCATTTTCCATCAGATTGATCGGCAGCTCATTTGCCATTTTAAAATGAGAAATGGAATAACAAAATAACGGACTATTTAAAAGAAAGGTAGAGACAGTTGTTGGAATATTAACTGTGAATTTTATCTTAAGAATCCGTAAGAGGTGTGCTAAGTCAGTGTATCTTTTATAGTTCATCTTTGAACGTGTGATTTTAACTTTTTAATTTTATGTTACATAACTGCCTATCTATTATGTTTGTACTACTATAATGTTGCTACTCTAAGCTTAATTTAGTTGATTGTAAGTATTAGCGGTGTCATGTTCATTTAGTTTAATCTTGTTTTTATTTGTACGAACCTATAATTGGCTTGTTGTATTTACTGTCTTTTTTCTTATTATGGAATTTTCTAACTATTGGTCTTTTTTAATAAAAAATAAAATAAATAAAGGTTGCTTTTGTAATTGTAATGTAATTATAGAAATTATCTCACAGATATACAGAAAAATAATAGCAGTTTCTGCCCGGAGATAACTGACAATTATGTCAGCTTACTTGTACCACACTTCACCGATAAATTACAGATTTATATTTTCTTTTCACTGCATTACTTATTACTTATTTATCTATATATTGTATGTGTCTTATATATATATATATATATATATATATATATATGTTTAATTTCATTGTTGCATACTGCACTCTCTGTACAGACTCTTACCAGACCAGTGTCGGTGAGCCGTAAGGACTCCCGCCACATGCTGAGCAAGAGCTTTTTTAATGACTAGAATTTGTTTTTATTGTCAGCTATTTTTTATGTATGTAACTAAATACATTTTATTTTCTCTTTCTTTTGTTCTGATTATATTTAAACATGTAAAATAATTTACTACCTTAAACCCTTTCAAGCGAACCCTAGAGTTCTCTACAAAAGAGTAGTAAATCGGTTTATTCAAGGTCGTAGGTTGCAGGCGTCTGTAGGCTACAGTAACCGTTTATCATCAGACGGACTGTATGCTTATTTGTCACCTTCGTGATATAAAAAAATGCGCTTTAAACATTATAGTATTATCGTTCGTAAGTTACAGTAACTACATATTACCTTTTCTAATAGTATAAATTAGCTGTCTGCTATATAATTCGTACATGTGAATTTCAGAAGTAGAAATACCAATGAAACGCCATTTCTAAATGGCACATCAAAGATTAAATTATCTATCTATCCTGACATCTATCTATCCTTATCTCCACCGATAAGAGCGCAGCTCTTGTCTGTGGAGCTCTTGCCACTCGCTATTTTCTCGATTTTCAGCGAGTCTCTTCACCTCTTGATACGACACAACACCAACTCCTTCTTTGATCTGCCTGATGTAACTATGCCTTGGTCTCTCTGTTCCCCTCCTACCTTCTAACTTACCTTCAATTATAATGTTCATAAATTAGTCGTGTCGTATCAAATGTCCTAACATTTTTCCCCTTCCGGTTAAACATATATCAGATTTTAAACTAAACTTTCATTAACATAACTGTGTAAATTGCATATAATTAGATGTAAAAGTTTTTTGCATGATGCTAAAATTATACAGACAGACAAACAAATTTCTATTTGATTGATCTTATTAAGACTCCTCATATTCTGTTTTCTTAAATATCTTCCATTATCCAGTTACAAATTTATTACATTAGTAAGATCAGACAAGATGTGAAAGTAAATTAGTTTGATACGTCTTAGAGCTTTTACGACTCGTCTAATTACTGTGAAATTTGGTATACATTCTCATCATCATATCAGCCTTTAATTGCTGAACATAAGCCTCCCCTTGGAGGGGGGGGGGGGGGATCGCCAATAGTTGCCACACTTGGGCGGTTGAAGATGTTTTAAGAGGGACGCTGCTGCCCATCCCGCGCCCTTCCTTAGTCGCCTCTTACGACACCCACGAGAAAGTAAGGGGTGGCCTATTCTATGCCGGGACTACACGGCCTATACACGTACTATATGGGATTAAAAAGGACATAGGCTGATTTTTATCTCGGTCAATAGAAATATTTCTGTCACACGAACGAAGTCGCGTGTTAAAACTAATCAATTTATATTCTTCTACAGTCTTAGCAATATTAAAGGAAATATTTATGGGCGAGAGAAAAAGACAAACATCTGTGATAGTTCCTTCAGAATAATACAATGATTGCTAGAGTAAATAAAATTTAGTAAAACGTTAATATTGTCAGCCATGCTGAGACATGCTGCGACCTCACAAATGGAATCTAAATTAGTTACCTTAGTAACTGTACAATAACGTCTACCAAATACCCAATTAAATCTTACATTAATATAAACTACCTCATTATATTAATCTTCTTTACTACAATTCATTATTTATATATTATAGTTCTGAGTATATATACTCGTATATTTTATTTATGAAATAGCTGCTTGTATATCTAATAACCATTTTTTTACATTACTTAGAATGGCAAACAAGCTGACAGCCCACCTGATGGACAGTGGTAAACCGCCTATAGATATTAGCAGTACCATGGACATAACATAATATACTGTTTCGCACACAAAACACCCCATGCGTTGCCATTCCTGAGGACTCAGATGTTATTCCTCTGTACCCTGTAAATTCACAGCCATATCTCACCCTTTAAACCGAAACACAACAATGCAAACACAACTGCTTCACGGTAGAAACACGAATGGGATAGAGGTGCTCAAGCAAATGACTTTTGTACAAAATTTCCCTCTAGTAAATATCATCATGTCTGGTCGTCATATCAGTCGATAACTGTACACTGCTAAACTGTACTCTGCACTTTAGATATCACAGTTTTTTTTTATACCACCGAAGTGACAAACACGTTTACGGCCCGCATGATGGTAAACAGATGCTGTAGCCTACGAATGTCTGCAATATCAAGAGCATTATACGCCCATTGCTGACTTTGAAGAAACCTCTTTTGTGAACCCTATGCTGTAATATTCATTAAACTCTTCAAGCATCGCCATTCCTAAGGACTGTGGTATTAAGCCTCTATTCCCTGTAATTTTACGGCCATATTCCTTCAAACCATGCAATAGCTGCTTCATGATAAAACACTAGTTGGATATAGGTACCCGTACAGCTAACCTCAGCGCACAGTTTTCTTTGGTAACTCTATTAACCTGGGAGAAAGAGATTGTTAATAATGGAGTTTGACAGCCCCATTGCTAGTAATATAGATTTTAGATATTAGATCGATCTCCACGTGGTTCCCTCTGGAAACCATCGTGAACAATTCTTGTTGAATTCGTCACGATGGGCTAACTGACCTGATTCATCGTCACCTATCATCCTTCACTGGTGGCCCGCCAGTGTATATTGATAGCGCAGGTGGGGTTACCATTCCATTATCACCCATTAAAAAAAACCTATTAACCATTAGGTTATTAAACCCGAATAGTGAATTGAAAAGTCATAAATCTCTTAATTCAAATTGATTTTAATTAAAACATTCAGCCGTCAGTTGCTCGCAATCTGTGACACGAACGTTACAAGCGAAGGGTACGGTGCCAAAGTGGTCGTTCTATTGAAAATTTCAGCCGCGCCCGAAACAGTTGGCTATATTCCAGTATGGAAAACACAAAAGCCTTTTATATAAGAGTAGTTCGCCTTTATAAAAGTTATATAAAGAACAAACACACAGACATAGAAATATTAAGAAATATCATATCTTAATAATAATTATATAAAAAAAAATGTAGCTAGACGATATCTGTACATGGGAGATATTTAAGGAAAAACAATTACAATATAAATAGATAGATATAAGAGATACTCTTTATTGTTTCCTCCATAAGGTTACAGTAATAAACTTATTATAAATACAAACAATTACAAGAAAATATTACACTGAGAAAACAATGGGCGAGCTTATCGCTAATAGCGGGGGGAAGGAGTTGTTAGTAATGCGAACATTCAGTCCTATTGCTAGCAATATACGCTATCAGGTCGACCTCCATGTCGTTCTCCCTGGAACCCATCGTGCTGAATTCCAGGTCTGTTCATCACGATGGGCTAACTGACCTGCCTTTTCGCTCTCACCTATCATCCTTCACTGGTGCCCCACCAGCGTATACCGTTAGCGCAGGCGGGGTTACTATTCCATAAAAAAATAAAAAAAAAAACCTAAAATATGTAATGAGAGTGAACAAAACCAGAATTTGCCGAGTAAGCAATTAAAAAAGGGTTAATAAGATCATAAAAACATACTGTAGCCGGTTATGTGAAGTAATCAGATTTTTCATGTAAACATTTGCCGCGCGATGCTGAGTGTTAAAATGTGGTATTTTGGTAGAATTTAATGGAATTAATTTCAAATTTTCGCTTTCAACGAGTATATTATAAATAACTAAAGTGTTAGCCATTTGATTTCAGAAGGAAAACCAAGAAAATAAATTACTTTCAAGGCATTTTCTATCACGCACAACCACTCTTTGGAATCAACTCCCAGCAGCAGTATTTCCGAACCGATACGACAACATAACCTTCAAGAAAAGAGCATATTCCCGTTTAAAAGGCCGGCAGCACACCT